CTGATGGGAGAGAGAGACAAACAGACGGATGGGAGAGAGAGACAGACAGACAGATGGGAGAGAGCGGGGGATGGGGAGAGAGAGAGAGTGGGGGATGGGGAGAGAGAGAGAGACAACAAAACAGAAAAAATGACATTTGCCTTTTTTTCTTCTACAGACAGACAGACAGACAAATGTGGGGGTCAACAGTGTCATCATGCATTAGTGAAAGAGAGGGGGGGGGGGGAGGGGGGAGGGGGGAGGAGGAGGGAGGGGGGAGAGAGAGAGAGAGAGAGGGAGGGAGGGAGGGAGGGAGAGAGAGAGGGGAGGGGGAGAGAGAGGGGAGGGGGAGAGAAGAGGGAGGGGAGAGAGGGAGAGATAGAAAGAGAGAGAAGAGGAGGGAGAGAGAAGAGAGGAAAAGAGGAGAAGGAGAATTGCAGAGAGAGCGAAGCGGAGAGATGGAGGGGTTTGCTTTCAAGATAATTGTGAATCTGTGAGAGAGGAGGAGGAAAGAGAATGTTGAATAAAAGAGGGACACCATTTGGGACTGACCCCCTAGTGTGAATTAAATTAATCATCTGCAATAGCTGCTCACCAAGGACAACCGCATTCAGAGAGCTACACAGAGAGAGACACAGAGAGACACACACACATAGAGAGACACAGATAGCTACACAGAGAGACACAGAGAGAGACACAGATAGCGACACAGAGAGAGACACAGATAGCTACACAGAGAGACACAGAGAGAGACACAGATAGCTACACAGAGAGACACAGAGAGGAGACACAGATAGCTACACAGAGAGACACAGAGAGAGACACAGATAGCTACACAGAGAGACACAGAGAGAGACACAGATAGCTACACAGAGAGACACAGAGAGAGACACAGATAGCTACACAGAGAGACACAGAGAGAGACACAGATAGCTACACAGAGAGACACAGGAGAGAAACACAGATAGCTACACAGGAGGACACAGAGACAGACACAGAGAGACACACACCACAGAGGAGAGGACACAGATAGCTACACAGAGAGACACAGAGAGAGACACAGATAGCTACACAGAGAGACACAGAGAGAGACACAGATAGCTACACAGAGAGACACAGATAGCTACACAGAGAGACACAGAGAGAGACACAGAGAGACACACACACAGAGAGAGACACAGATAGCTACACAGAGAGACACAGAGAGAGACACAGATAGCTACACAGAGAGACACAGAGAGAGACACAGAGAGACACACACACAGAGAGAGACACAGATAGCTACACAGAGAGACACAGAGAGAGCTACACAGAGAGAGAGACACAGAAAGACAAATAGAGAGAGACAGAGAGAGAGAGAGACATCAAAGAGAGAGAGAGATACAGAGAGAGAGACACATAGAGACAGAGAGAGAGAGAGAGACAGAGAGATACACAGAGAGAGACACAGAGAGATACACAGAGAGATACACAGAGAGATACACAGAGAGATACACAGAGAGATACACAGAGAGATACACAGAGAGAGCTAGACAGAGAGATACACAGAGATACACAGAGAGATACACAGAGAGATACACAGAGAGAGACACAGAGAGATACACAGAGAGATACACAGAGAGACACACAGAGAGACACACAGAGAGATACACAGAGAGATACACAGAGAGATACACAGAGAGAGACACAGAGAGATACACAGAGAGATACACAGAGAGATACACAGAGAGATACACAGAGAGATACACAGAGAGATACACAGAGAGAGACACAGAGAGAGACACAGAGAGAGACACAGAGAGATACACAGAGAGATACACAGAGAGAGACACAGAGAGATACACAGAGAGACACAGAGAGATACACAGAGAGATACACAGAGAGATACACAGAGAGAGACACAGAGAGATACACAGAGAGAGCTAGACAGAGAGATAACAGAGAGAGATACACAGAGGAGACCAGAGAGTACACAGAGAGATACACAGGAGATACACCAGAGAGGGGACACAGAGAGAAACAGGAGATACACAGAGGGGGAGAAGGGGAGACACAGAGAGATACACAGAGAGATACACAGAGAGAGCTAGACAGAGAGATACACAGAGAGAGACACAGGGGAGATACAAAGAGAGAGTAGACAGGAGAGAGACACAGAGAGATACCCCAGAGAGATACACAGAGAGATACACAGGGGAGAGTGACAGGGGGTACACAGAGAGAACACGAGAGATACACAGGGAGCTTTGACAGAGAGAGACACAGAGAGGGACACAGAGGATACACAGAGAGATACCAGAGAGATACACGAGGATACACAAAAGAGATACCAGAGAGATACACAGAGAGAGCTAGACAGAGAGAGACACAGAGAGAGACACAGAGAGATACACAGAGAGATACACAGAGAGATACACAGAGAGAGACACAGAGAGAGAACAGAGGGGAGACACAGAGAGATACCACAGAGAGATACACAGAGAGATAAACAGAGGAGATACACAGAGAGAGACACAGAGAGATACACAGAAGGAGAGACACAGAGAGAGACACAGAGAGAGCTAGACAGAGAGAGACACAGAGAGAGACACAGAGAGATACACAGAGAGATACACAGAGAGATACACAGAGAGATACACAGAGAGAGCTAGACAGAGAGAGACACAGAGAGATACACAGAGAGATACACAGAGAGATACACAGAGAGATACACAGAGAGAGACACAGAGAGATACACAGAGAGATACACAGAGAGATACACAGAGAGATACACAGAGAGATACACAGAGAGAGACACAGGAGAGATACACAGAGAGATACACAGAGAGATACACAGAGAGAGACAGAGAGAGATACACAGAGAGAAACACAGAGAGAGACACAGAGAGATACACAGAGAGATACACAGAGAGACACAGAGAGATACACAGAGAGATACACAGAGAGATACACAGAGAGACACAGAGAGATACACAGAGAGAGACACAGAGAGATACACAGAGAGATACACAGAGAGATACACAGAGAGATACACAGAGAGAGACACAGAGAGATACACAGAGAGATACACAGAGAGATACACAGAGAGATACACAGAGAGATACACAGAGAGAGACACAGAGAGATACACAGAGAGATACACAGAGAGATACACAGAGAGATACACAGAGAGATACACAGAGAGATACACAGAGAGATACACAGAGAGAGACACAGAGAGATACACAGAGAGAGACACAGAGAGAGACACAGAGAGAGACACAGAGAGAGACACAGAGAGACACAGAGAGAGACACAGAGAGAGACACAGAGAGAGACACAGAGAGATACACAGAGAGAGACACAGAGAGAGACACAGAGAGAGACACAGAGAGAGACACAGAGAGATACACAGAGAGATACACAGAGAGATACACAGAGAGAGACACAGAGAGATACACAGAGAGATACACAGAGAGATACACAGAGAGACACAGAGAGAGACACAGAGAGAGACACAGAGAGATACACAGAGAGAGACACAGAGAGATACACAGAGAGAGACACAGAGAGATACACAGAGAGAGACACAGAGAGAGACACAGAGAGATACACAGAGAGATACACAGAGAGAGACACAGAGAGATACACAGAGATACACAGAGAGATACACAGAGAGATACACAGAGAGATACACAGAGAGATACACAGAGAGATACACAGAGAGAGCTAGACAGCTGAACTGTATTATTATAGCTCTCCTTAGGAGAAAGAAAACCTATTTTTATCATATTTGAAAATGTTTACCAGGCTGTATTGAAAGCATATCGCCAAGTATTTTCTCAACTTACTCCCTGTCCGGTGCAGACCCTGGACTCTCCTTCTGAGACATAACATTTTCCTACCAGACCCTGGACTCTCCTTCTTAGACATAACCTTTTCCTACCAGACCCTGGACTCTCCTTCTTGGACATAACCTTTTCCTACCAGACCCTGGACTCTCCTTCTTAGACACATCCTTTTCCTACCAGACCCTGGACTCTCCTTCTTAGACATAACCTTTTCCTACCAGACCCTGGACTCTCCTTCTTAGACACATCCTTTTCCTACCAGAACCTGGACTTTCCTTCTTAGACATAACCTTTTTTTCAATCATATTTAAATATGCACTATAGAGCAGGTGTTTTCAAAGTCTGAGACAGTGGGCCTCCCTTCAGATTATTTAAATGATTGTTTTATAAATATATTATAGCTTGAGACAGGCCTAATACTTATTCATTACAGAATATAGTTTGACTTGGCTTTCACACCTCCCCTGAAACTCTCTGGTAGCCCCCTGGGGAGTATATTACATTTGAATATATACTATATTATACAACCTTTTAATATAAACGTCATAGTATATTGGAAACTTTCTCTCCATGGTGAGTAGGTCCAGAGGGATGTGAAAACCTGTTTGAAGCTGCGGGGCTTCGACGGTGCTGACCGTAAAATCCTCTTACTCCCCCTGCTGCCAGCATGCTACCCTGCTACGCTCGCCCTGTCCTGTCACATCCCCCTGCTGCCAGCATGCTACCCTGCTACGCTAGCCCTGTCCTGTCACATCCCCCTGCTGCCAGCATGCTACCCTGCTACGCTAGCCCTGTCCTGTCACATCCCCCTGCTGCCAGCATGCTACCCTGCTACGCTAGTCCTGTCCTGTCACATCCCCCTGCTGCCAGCATGCTACCCTGCTACGCTAGTCCTGTCCTGTCACATCCCCCTGCTGCCAGCATGCTACCCTGCTACGCTAGTCCTGTCCTGTCACATCCCCCTGCTGCCAGCATGCTACCCTGCTACGCTAGTCCTGTCCTGTCACATCCCCCTGCTGCCAGTATGCTACCCTGCTACGCTAGTCCTGTCCTGTCACATCCCCCTGCTGCCAGCATGCTACCCTGCTACGCTAGCCCTGTCCTGTCACATCCCCCTGCTGCCAGCATGCTACCCTGCTACGCTAGCCCTGTCCTGTCACATCCCCTGCTGCCAGCATGCTACCCTGCTAC